ATGAAAAAAATAGCATTGCAAATATGACATATCGTTTTGAAATTTAGAATAGTAAAAATGTAAACTAGCTTTGACAACAATTTAGCAGATCCCAAAGTAAAATGTGATCTAATTATGTATCTATCTATCTATCTATCTATCTATCTATCTATCTATCTATCTATCTATCGATCTATCTATCTGCTGTGATATTTTACACTTATTCTCAGGGAATTATATTTGATATTATTTAGTAAATATTTTGAATAAAAATGCAAAATATGAACTTTGAGATGATGTTGAATGGTCATAGCTTATTTCACAAGATATAGTAAGAATGTAATTTCAACTTTTCCCTTTATATAATTGTGCTTAAAAAAGTGTTTGTTCATTGTTTTACATAGTTAACTGTGTCCCTGCTGGTACACTTTGTTGTATGAATTAAAATTACCTTTATTTCTTGGAAAATTTTGTTTTTTCCCTCAAAATGTGTTATATTTGAAAATAAATATATCATTTCCTTTGTTGTCTTTCTGATTCTTTTAAGCTTTTATAATTGTGAAGTTATTGTCAGAGTCGCCAGAATTTAACTCCCCATTTTGCTAATAGCTTAGAGCTCAGCATCAAGTTTGTTCTGTTAAAGTATTTTAAAATTATTTACAAAAAAAGCCTAGCCAGACATTTCTTGCAGAATAAAAGACTGATTTTTAAACTTTAAAAAAAAATAACTTGTCTATAATTTAAATTCTCTGGAGATTTTATTATGATAATTATTTACTGTGCTTTTTGTATATTCATCTCTAAATTAAATTTTTTGTAATTAACTGAAAGTAATGTGCTGTGGTGTTTTCCAACTGTAAAAGCAATCAGGTCTCAAAGTATAAAGTACCTCATTATAGCTAAATATAATGATCACCTGAGTATTTTTCCAACAGGCTAATTTTGCTTTACACTATAACTTTATTATATTTTATTTCAATACCTTTATCACATAATGAAAAGTAAGTATTTGGATTTCATTGCTTATAAGGTGGAAAAAAACAGAACAAACTCCTTGTCTAGTCATGGAGATGTGCTAGAGGTCAGAAGGAAATATAAGGCTATCAGCATTTATAGGAAATACCTTTGGAAAGATGTGGCACTTTGAGTTTTTTTTTTTAAAGATTTATTAATTTATGCATACAAGAGCTGGGGTACAGGCCAGAGATGCGGAGGGGTGGGGGGTGCTGAGAGGATTCACCAGAGACATAGTGGGGAACAGAACAGGCATATTGACCAAAGTACACTGTTGAGAGGAGCAGCTGGTGAGACAGGAGAGGTCTGCTGCGTCATGTGGGTTGCTCCCTGGCTGGGTATCGAACTCTTGCTGCAGTGGCTGCAGATTGCTTCATAGTGCAGTGCTTAACCCCTTGCACCACCAGGGAGGCCCAAGATGTGGCAATTTGACCTGATGTGGAAAGAATATGAGAGATTGAATGGTGCTAGAATGAACGAGGACTCACAGATATTTCTTCAAGATCCTAATTTCAATTATTTTGCATATATGCCGGGATTGGGATTGCTGAATCATGTGGTAGTTTTATTTTATTTTTTATTTTTTTATTATTATTATTTTTTAATAGAGGCATGCTTTAGTTATTTATTTATTTGTTTGTTTTTTTGTTTTATTTATACATGCACTGGGTACAGTCAGAAGCGCGGGAGGGTGAGAGAATTCACCAGAGCCAGAGCGGGGAGCAGAGCAGGCAGAAGGACCGAAGTACACTGCTGAGGGGAGCAGTGGGCTGCAGGAGAGGTCTGCGCGCCATGTGGGACCCGCCTCTGGTGGCTGGGGAGCAGCGGGGATTGAACCGGCGTCGCAGAGTCCGAGGGCAGCTTCGCAACCCAGCGCTCAACCGCTACGCCACTGGAGAGGCCCTTTTTTATTTTTTTTAAAGATTTATTTATTTATACACAAACTGGGGTACAGTCAGAGGTGTGGGAGGGTGAGAGAATTCACCAGACATAGAGTGGGGAGCAGAACAGGAAGACGGACACTGCTGAGAAGAGCAGCGGGTGAGACAGGAGAGGTCTGCCACACTATGTGGGATTCTTGTGGGTCAGTTGGGATTGAACCCGCACTGCAGAGGTTGCGGATAGCTTCATAGCGGGGCGCTCAACCCCCTGCGCCACAGGGGAGGACTGGTAGCTTTATTTTTAATTTTTTTATTTTTCCAAAGCTGTTGTACCATTTTATAGTCTCACCGATAGTGTGCAAGGTTCTGATTTCATCAATCTTTATAAAGCTTATCATTGTTTCGATATTATTCAAAGAAGTATGAAGTGAGACGCCATAGTTTTGATTTTTATTTCCCTGAGAATTATGTTGAACATTTTAAATATATCTCTTGGTCAATTTGTACACAAATTTTTGAGAAATTCTTATATACACTAAAAACAGTGATATTGATGAAAGAAATTAAAAGAAACAAATAAATGTTAAATTGTCCATATTAAATAAATATACAAGTTTAATACTGTCCCTATAAAAATTCCAATGGTAATTTTCACAATCCTGAAATTCATGTGGGACCATCAAAATACCAGAATAGACAAAGTTATCTTGCATAAGCAGAACAAAGCTGGAGGCCACACATTTCCTGATTTCAAAAATATCGCAAAACTTCAAAAATTAAAATAGAATGGTTCTGGCAAAAGGGCAGACAAATAGATCCACAGAGCAGTACTGGGAGCTCAGAAGTAAATCCACACATATATGGTGGATTTGTGGAATAAATTTTTGTCATCCTAATAGGTGTGTAGTGAAATAATTTTTAGATATTCCAAATAAGAGATTGACAGAGTTCATTTTAAATAAAAGCATGATTCAATCATTCTACCTGTAAGACATTTATGATGTAGTCTAAGTATCCAAAACTTGGTTTGTGAACACCATCCCTAACATTAAAAACAAACAAACACAGAACCAAAGTTCTATATCTAAGGTATAGTAACTACCCTATCAAACAGCATGGAACACACCCAAAATTTGGTTTAAAAGTCAAGAATGATAACATAAACCAAGAAGGTATAAAATCAGGGCAGCATAACCAACGTTGTCAAAACATGGCTTAATTAATCAAGGAAAGGGACTGGCTTGAGGTATTTTATGCAGTAAAAGAAGAGGGGCTGGGATGAGTATTTCCAACGGCAGCAAAAGAGGGTTGTGTCATTTGAATTTCCCCCTATATAAAAAGAGCTGGTCTCAGCCTTCCTTATCAACTTGTCCAAATTTTGGATGGAAAAAGAGGGTAAGGCTTACAAATTGTCAGCAAATATCAAAAAATGGAGTTAGATATTTGAAATTCACCCTTAATCTTTGACGACTAAAGTGTGCTATTTTTATTTTTTATTTAATCAAGTTGAAACTTAACATGATCATCACTTTCAACTAAATTTTTAGAAAATATTATCAGTATATTTTTATAATATGAAAGTGTTCATGGATTTCCCAAGGATATTTCAGAGAGACTGTCCTTTTCAGAGATCTGATGCAGCGCTGTACAGCTTCCTAACTCAGTAAACCCAGTACTTACTTTTGTTGTATTTCATTGTCAGAAAAGTTATAGTGTTCAGTCCATATATAAACAGAGTTGAACTCAACTCCATCTAACAATAAGAAGAGTAACAAAGAATTTCAAGACCATCTTCAATCTACCTATGATTAATCTTCCAGTAATGTTTACCCAGACTAGCTATCACTATTTTTATCATAGTCATCATGCATACTTATTCTATTTACACATTCTAATACCCTTTGTGATAGACATTATTTTCACCTTTTCTAGATAAGAAAGTAAATGATGAAGCTAAATGTTTTAATCGATGTCTTATTACATAGTGAGAAAGGCACAGTTTCATTCAGACATATTGACCCAAGTTTCTAAAGTACAGTACTCAAATAATTTACTAAAACATTTATTTACTAAAATGCAGTTTTTATTGTAATATTTCATTTTTAAAAGAAATTCTTTTCAATTCTAAAGTGAATGATAAGATATTAGAACAAGAAGAAAATGGAGATTACAATTATTTAATTAACATAATAATTTGTAGTATGCATTTGATTATATATTATTTCACTTGAATAAAATTTTTTGGAGAAATAATTTAAATTTAGGATAGCTGTACCTAAAATATTATATCTATGAATAAGAGGTAACAAACAGTTTGTATCTTGCTTTAATGCTAACATGTAATTGCAAATATTGAACTTCCTTGTGGGTGAAATTATCCACCATTAACTTGCTTGTATAAATTTGTTGATGTCCAAAACATAACTTTTTCCCAAAATTCTTAATTCAAAGCCAATAATGCATGGCGGGTTTCTAACATAATTATATATGAAAGAATGAATATCATTTTGCATTAATATCTCAACAGAATATTTGGCAGATTATTAAAAAACTTTAAGTAACGATAATGTTTAATTACAAATACAGTCATACAGTAACTCTTTCAAAAAGCAGAATTTTAGGGGGCCACTGAACAGGAAAGCTCAGGAGAGTCAACTATCTCTTAAAATCTGGCCTAAGTTCTTGCATACTAATTAAATCATGCCTGTTCATTTTAAAAGTACAGCTATACTACTCGCCCTAAGGATACATTTTATTGTCATGTGGAATATGAAATGTTATTCTGCTCCAGGAGATAAAAGCAATTTAATTTGAATCTCTCTGGAAAACAAAATATCAGCACAGCTAGTCAACTGCATCATCTGTGACTATTATCTGTTAGTAAACTATTTCATGCTGTCATTAATATATGACATTTTTTGTATACTGAACCTATTACAAGGCAATGTTATTTTATCTTGTCCTTCATGACAGAAAAAAAAAATCCACTCTTAGGTGTGGTAAGTCACTTTTGCTCAGTAGTTTTCTTAAGATCACTCATAGTGTTAGATTGACTAAAAGTAAGAGCAGAAGGTAATCTACAGGCAATCAAGTGGAGACTATCAACATCCTTATTTTATTAAAATATAGTCCTTCTGAGATTATACATTTCCATTATAACCTCCGGAGTTTTCTGGATGAGTTTCACAGTCCATGTAGGCTTTAACCAATCATAGCATGTTACCTAATGGTGTTAATGGGAATTCATTTCTTCTTCTAATTAAACACAGATGTAGATCTAAAATTTAAGAAAAAGAGAAAAGCTGTATTCCCTTGCCAAGCTCATAATTTCTCTTTTTTTTTTTTTTTTTTTTTTTGCACACTACAGGGTCGTTGACAGCACCCAGGAGCCTAACACAGATGCACATTAATTACTCCTTCTCTAATTACTAGGGTACCAATATAACTGCTCAACCATTCATTATACATTCTTTTCAACTTTGCAAAACCCCAGAGACATATGTATGAAGTACACCACTTGGCAACATTAATTGAACCCTATTAACTCATAAAATTTATGAAAAGTGCTGCTATTAATAAAAAAGTGCTCTTTCCTTTAGTCCACTGAATCCACAGTGTACAAAATGATCATTTTCCTTGTGCTGTATACTGGATATTGGACAATGCAGCTGCTCACAGATTGTTAATTATCAGGAATACATCAACAGGATTAGACTAGATTCCTGGTGGTTAAATTAGCCAGGCTAATTTCCCATTCTGGAAGTTAAGCACAGTGGTAGTTAGCTGTATAAGCAAATCTAAATAGGATACTTAGCCAGGAAGTTAGATTTTACAAAAAGTAAACAGAAACTAGTTCAGTCATAACAAATCATTGTAATCTAAATTTGTTTTCTTAGAACATATTTCAAATTTACACATTTTTTTGGTGGAAATATATTTTTAATAGGGTACTTTACTTTGGAAACAGTGTATTTTTCATGTCAGAAATATTTTTCCCTATTCATTTATTTATTATTGATGGATATAATGCATACCTCCTGAGCTGGATTCACAGGTTCCACATTCAGCAAGTGGTTTACCTCCTCTTAACCCATAAATGAATCTCATTTTTAATCCAACAGATTGGTTTGCCTTTCTATCCATTTATCATCCAACTCTGCACAGATACTCTGGGTCTCTAACATGTGCCATTTCTTCTTTTCTTGAAAATATATAAATGGTTATGCCTCTAAAACATATTCTAACTTTTACAGTTTTCAATTCCAAATTGCTATCTTCTACATATGTTGAACAAATGTTAGGTGCTATGCATTTGACTGATCACTGCAGAGGCATAGGTGAGCCAGATGAAATGCAAAACAAACTTAATAGAAGATCTGACAGTGTCCTGGAGAAAAGAGTACTAAGCAATTACATACATAGGGCATTAGATAACAAGAAAAGGTCTGCAAACAAATGGTAGCAGAAATGAAAACTGTGTTCTGGACTCCTGAGGCATTAAATGTCCACCTAATTCATTTCTTAGTTTGCGCTGCCTTGTTTGGTCAGTTACATTCTTATGACTTTAGATTTTTTCTCTGATCAAATTACTATAATTTTTTTTCACAGTTATATTAGAGACCTCTATTTAAAGATTTATTGACATAAGAAAGATCTTGAAAACAAAAAAATACAGTATTCCTTTGTTTGCAGTAATATGCTGTTGGCAATTTAAAAACAAATTTCAATGACAAAATGGATTTTTTTGCAAATTTCAGTTTTTTTTATTTAATTCACATCAATCTGAATAGTTTCTTAACAAAATAAGAAGCTATAGATATTTTAATGAAGAATGGAATGGTTAACCATTGCTTTGGATACTTCTCTTACCCCCCTTGATGTTAGGGTACAAATTGTTTCATTTATTTTTGTGAACCCTGGTAAAATTTTTATCTGTCTGATAAATAAATGAGTATGTTTTCTTAAATTTAGCTGTCAACCATATTACAATGTTTTAAAGATCCGCATTGCAAATGGATTTGAGAAATTAAATCACAATCGTCAGGTAAATTAAAATGTTTAAGATAGTTTGATGTGTATTTTTTTTCTTTTTGTGTAACTGAAGGAATTAAGATATAATAAGAGGAATCCTAGCTTGATTGTGTATTAGGAAAAGATGATTAAGATACTTAGATTGTATCAAATATTCCTAAAGTAGAGATAAAATTTGAGAGAAGACCACAAAACCTGAATGGGCAAGGAAGTGATATTAGTTGTAAAATATACAAAATCTGTGCTAATATTCATCTTGGCTCCTAATACATTAGAGTCTCTGGAGAACAGAGGTTTATACATATCATATTCCATAAATTTATATGTGTTTGGAATACATTGACTCTGCATTTTAAGTATGTACCTCAGGATTTTTAGCAATAACTTATAAAATATCAATAATAGTTCTATATATCATTTTTATTCTACCAAGAGAAAAAACACTAAGAATATTTCTAGAAATCAATTTATTTTTAAAACATGTTGAAGAGACAAACACTAATCTAGATTTTGCATTACATTTCATTAAAAATAAAGCATCTTTAAGAAAGTTTCCTGTTATTTAAGAAAGTTTCCTGTTATTTAAGTCTCATGATACAGGGATAGATTTTCAGAATGAAGATGGAAAACTATAATTGATATATCTGGTGAAAACATGTCATGTTAAAATATCAATTTGAAGAGAGAAAACTAACTTTTGTTTTTAAAACCTGATGAAAGCCCAAATCAACAATGAGTATATTGCCTACGTGTGAAACTTTTAAATAAAAATATTTAAAATTTCATTATGTATTTTATAGATGTTTGATACTACACATACATATGGGGTGTGTGTGTGCGTGTGTATTCATGGTCAAAATCTCCATGATAAATGTTCAAATGGATAAAAGTTAAAACATATAATGACAAATATCCCTAAAATAAGCTTGAACGGTAATAGGAATTTCTTCTTCATAGCATGTACCAGAGTCATAATGTGTGTTAGTACATGTGTATGTGTACTTGTGTGTATATATGTGTGTCATGGGCAGGAAATTATAGTTCTGAAAGAGAGAAAAGAGATGTGCATGTAAATCTGCATAGTAAGGAAGAAGCAGAGAAAAATGGCTTTGAACTGAACTTTAGTTAATTTAAAATATATTTTTATTGCATATTTTACATGGAAGGCATATTGAGGGACTCTATTACTGAAGGCTGATTACCTTGGAAACAATTTTTAAAGGGAAAGAAAAACAAATAATCATTATGAGCATACACAGAAAGTCAGAAAAGCAGAGGGTTTACAAAGGTAGATTAACAGTGAACATGAGAAGTTATTAGGAACAAAATTAAGGTCATTTGGGCCTCCATAGTGCCGCAAGGGGTTAAGCCTCAGCACTATGAAGCTATCTGCAGCCACTGCAGCACAGAGCTCCATCCCTGGCCAGGGAGCTACCCACACGGCGCAGCAGACCTCTCCTGTCTTACCTGCTGCTCCCTGCAGCAGTGTGTTTCAGTCAGTCTGCCTGTTTTGCTCCCCGCTCTGTCTCTGGTGAGTCCTCTCACCCCCTCCCCCTGAACCTCTGACCTACACCCCGTTCTCATATGCACAAATAATTTTTAAAAATAAAAAAATGGTCATTTATATGAAAGGAACTTGTTTAGCCAATGAGAAAATAAAGATAAATTGACAAAAATATACATGCTATTTAATTCTACAAAACAATTTTAATTCTAAAATGAATCAAAATTTTCATTATTCATATTATTATTTAGGTTTTTGAAGGTTAAGTAAAGAATAAGAAGATATTCTTGATAAAGCAGAAAACAAAATAATGCATTCCTTCTCCTTGACATAGATTCCTTCATGCACTGTCCCGGGGTAATATCTCTATAGTATTCTTTAACCATCTCCTTTAAGGCATTTTACTTTTTACTATTTTTCATCATTTAAAAAAGTATTTCTGGGCCTCCTTGGTGGCACAGGCAGTTGAGCACAGCGCTGTGAAGCTATCCGCAGCCTCTGCAATGCTGGTTCTATCCCGGCCAGCCGGCAAGGATCCCATGGCGCAGCAGACCCCTCCTGTCTTGCCCGCTGCTCCCCTCAGCAGTGTATTTCGTCAGTCTGCCTGTTCTGTTCCCCGCTCTGTCTCTGGTGAATCCTCTCAACCTCCTGCACATCTAGCCTGTACACTGGTTCTTGTATAAACAAATAAATCTTTAAAAAAAAGTATTTCTAAATTTATTAACACATTGTGAAGAGATTCATTTGCATGTAATTAATTCCTTCATAAAATGATTTCTCTTTCTGAAATTATACACTGGCACATTATAGAACAATAAAATTATCAGCCTCTCTCCCATGGATCAATTTGACACTCAGAAATTTTGACGAGTGAGGTTCTCTGTCATTAAAACACCAAATTCTTTAAAGCTGTCAAAGCCACATCTTTGGTTGTTATTTAATGTGTTTATGATTATCAGGAGTTAATGCCATTTTGTAACAAGATAGTATTTTCCAAGAAGTTAATCTTTCCATCAGTGGAAAATGTGACTGAAGTCCTTGACAATCCAAAAGAACAATCTATTACTGTTTCCTAACAATAATCGTGTTTCCAATTGCATGTAAATGCTTCATGAGTTCAATTGAAATCTGATAGATTTTATTTTATTTTTTTTAATTTTTTTTTTTTTTTTTTATAGAGGCATGTTTATTTATTTATTTGTTTGTTTGTTTTTTGTTTATACATGCACTGGGTACAGTCAGAAGCGCGGGAGGGTGAGAGAACTCACCAGAGCCAGAGCGGGGAGCAGAGCAGGCAGAAGGACCGAAGTACACTGCTGAGGGGAGCAGCGGGCCGCAGGAGAGGTCTGCGCGCCATGTGGGACCCTCCTCCTGTGGCAGGGGAGCAGCCGGGGATTGAACCGGCGTCGCAGAGGCTGCGGGCAGGTTCGCAACCCAGCGCTCAACCGCTGCGCCACCAGGGAGGCCCGGAATCTGATAGATTTTAAACCAATGGTATTTTACCATTTAGTCCATTGAGTTGTCAAATAAAAAAATAATATGAAGGGAGCAGCAGTTTATGTTGTAGATAGCTGATAACTCAAGATTCCTGGCAGATTACCAGATGGTCACCACCACCTTACAAATAAAAAAAAAAAAAAATGCCAGAAAACACCTCAAAATGCCAGAGCAAGGATAACATGAGGACTTTTTCATTTTAAAAAACATTGGGAAATAAGTACAAATTTGACACCATATCAGGT